GTTTTTGCTATAGGGTGCGTGCACTCGCCAGAAAGACAAAGAGAGACAGACAGAGAGACAGAAAGCGAGAAATCACCCCCCAGGGGGGGATGGCCACGCCGCAATCCCTTCTCCATTCTCCTCTTGGGATCCTGGGCACGCACACACACGCGCCCAGTGTGATTTTAAGCCACCAGGTCTGGGACTCGAACCATGGTCGACTACGTGGGAGTCCAGTGACATAGCCATTACGCTAACTGCTGGTCCCTGTACGGTAGTCTTTTGAGGTTTCTGACTGTCAAGGTGGGCATAGAACAGATTTCAGAACACCTTAACACACAAAAGAGTTATACACTAAAGATATTTTCTTTGGAATAGTCATGAAACTAAATATAAGAATAAAGTAGATATCTACTTAGTTCTTTTACGTAGAAACACAGATAACTCTCATGGTTGACCTCCAGAAAAACATCTGAGATGACAGAGTTGGTTTTGGAGTCAAGCAAATCTGACACTAGCCAGATTTAGTGCCAGCTAAAATAAGTCCTGCTGCTGACCACTTGTTTAACCTCAGGGGAGTTCTTTCACATCTCTGAGTCTTGTTTCTCTCTGTGTGTGCCTATAAAATAGGTATTATGATACCTAGTTGGAAGGTTTTTAGAACGAGATGTGTGGTAGCCTGAAGTAGTGATTGGAGTAAGCATATGGGATGGACTAAATCATATGTACCATTTCGCAACTGTTTCCATGAGGGGGTGGGATCTATTTCCCACTGTTTGAATACACTCTTGCCCTGTGATTTGCTTCAGTCAATATAATGCTGGAGAAGTCACATTATGTTAGCCTGGAGCCAAGGATGTGAACGGTTGCACTGACTACCTTTATCTTTTGGAATGTTGCTGTGATGGGGATGACTTGAAATCTTCATGGCTGAGAAAAATATGAACAGTGGGAACTAGTATTTCTGAACATATACTAGACACATTACATATTTTGTACTATTTATTACTGCTTAATCACTAAGCAGTATAGAGTGAAATGACTTGTCCAAAGTTATAAAAGTGATAATTGCCTCTAAAGTTTATGGTTCTGTGTTTAGTCACACTTTACCTTCTTTAGTCGACCAGTCTTCTGTAGGTGTCTTAACAATAAGTTGATCTGAAATCATATGCGATTAATTACATAATCTAAATAATTGGATCAGATAAATCTTTATAGTTCTAAACTATGAGTTATCTGATGAGACAGTGTCTCCATAAGTCTCAGAGCATGATGAAGGAGTAGCTTCTCATCTTGACCCTGTTCATGGTACATAAGAAAATATTCTTCTCTGAAGATGATAAATAGAAACTCCTTATCCAAAATATTGACTGAAGGCTTATGTATGTGTGCCATGCTCTTCCCAGATGGCAGTTATGTCAGCATTCTGTTTATGTAGGTCAGGGCTGCAAACTACAAATTCTGGGAAGATTGTTTAGGAAGAGAACATAACGTTTGGAATTCACTGGTGGAGAATAAGTTGTCTCTGAAACTCATAATTCTTTTTTTTTTTTGGAGAGATTTTCACTGTAGGGTGCGTGCACTCGCCAGACAGACAGAGAGAGACATAGAGACAGAGAGACAGAAAGCGAGAAATCATCCCCCAGGGGGGATGGTCATGCTGCAATCCCTTCTCCTCCATTCTCTTCTTGGGATCCTGGGCACGCACGCACACGCACCCGGCGTGACCTCAGGGGAGTTCTTTCACATCTCTGAGTCTTGTTTCTCTCTGTGTGTGCCTATAAAATAGGTATTATGATACCTAGTTGGAAGGTTTTTAGAACGAGATGTGTGGTAGCCTGAAGTAGTGATTGGAGTAAGCATATGGGATGGACTAAATCATATGTACCATTTCGCAACTGTTTCCATGAGGGGGTGGGATCTATTTCCCACTGTTTGAATACACTCTTGCCCTGTGATTTGCTTCAGTCAATATAATGCTGGAGAAGTCACATTATGTTAGCCTGGAGCCAAGGATGTGAACGGTTGCACTGACTACCTTTATCTTTTGGAATGTTGCTGTGATGGGGATGACTTGAAATCTTCATGGCTGAGAAAAATATGAACAGTGGGAACTAGTATTTCTGAACATATACTAGACACATTACATATTTTGTACTATTTATTACTGCTTAATCACTAAGCAGTATAGAGTGAAATGACTTGTCCAAAGTTATAAAAGTGATAATTGCCTCTAAAGTTTATGGTTCTGTGTTTAGTCACACTTTACCTTCTTTAGTCGACCAGTCTTCTGTAGGTGTCTTAACAATAAGTTGATCTGAAATCATATGCGATTAATTACATAATCTAAATAATTGGATCAGATAAATCTTTATAGTTCTAAACTATGAGTTATCTGATGAGACAGTGTCTCCA